CCAAGCCAACCGAAAGGATTCGTAGTATTTTTGCCCATCCCAGATGAACCCCGCCGTGGTGTCCCCGCTACTGGCCGCTTCTTCAGCCAACAGACATTGTTTCCAGACGGTCGCCTCCGAGGACTGCCCAGCGCCGAAAGACCAATAGGGCCGATGAGCCCGCTCCAGAAACTCATCCACCTCAGGGCGCCTCAAACGCTTCCAGATACGAACTGGTGCAGCCAGAAGTAGAATAGGGCGCAATCCTCCCTTGGGCTTCTCCAAGAGTGGTAGCAACATCCAAAGCAACTGCGACGGGAACAGGCCAAGACGCTCGATCGCCTCGAAAAGAAGCGACATCACCTCCAGGGCGCTGTCGCTCAGGAGGCAGAAGTGGCGCGCGTGCAAGGAGTCCACAAACTGTGCCGTGTGAGTGCTGAAAGACCTCGATGCCATCCTTATCTGATCAGGGGTCGCTCGTTCGAAACACCTACGGTCTGGAATCCAAGCCTCTGGCGGGGTCAACGAGGCCTTCCAGAAACCTCCCAGCTTAACCGTTTCAGCCTCCAGGAGCTTGACGGGGTCCGCGGAGTATATCCCTGGGGCAACCTGCACAACTGTTGGTTGCCATTTCCGTTGCAGTTTCGTGAAACGATGCATCATCCGAGCCGGCCCTGCAAGGGCCTCCTTTTGCCAGGTATCCCACGACTGCTTTTGGAGCTTGTCCCCTAAGTCATTGGCATCTGAGAGGCCCTCGGCAATAGTATCCAAGAAAAAATCAGCTCTCGCGCGCCACTCGTGCATGCAGGGAAGGTCTGAACGCCATTCGGCCGCGAGTTGCCTCATCTCACGGAGGGGGGCATCCAATCGGATGTTGAGACCTTCCCCTGGGCATGAGTGCTGCAGCGACACCTTGAGGATCGCTGCCTGGGACTCGCCATCGGCGAGGCTCTCGGTGGCCAGCAAAAACTCGGCAAAAGCATGATAGAGCCATCGCCATCCTGAACGCACCTGGAGCTGATCATCTGCAAGTTTCGGCCCGTAGAACACTGGGGCCCATGAGGCCTTGATGGCATTACCGCGCTCCCCCAAGGACTTGGACTCCACTCCCAGAAATCTCACCAGCTCGAGTTCTGCACAATCGACGAAGAAGCGCCACGCAGCATTCAAGCAAGCCCAGGCCTCGCCAGCAGGGCTGCGTCGCGCACGTGCGACTGCATGCACTGCAAGGTGACGGGCGCCTTCCCAACATCCCTCAGCAGGACGAGGCCCAAAAGGCAGCTCTAGGGGTAAGTTCTGGAAGCTGCGGTAGACCAGCTGCTTGACCGTCAACTCATCTGGACGAATAGCTAGTGACACTGGCCGGTGGGGCTTGATCTCCCAAGACGTGTCGGCTGCAACCCCTTGGACCAGCCGAGCCACTCCAGGACCTACCAAGAAGAAATCAATAATCGTACTGGATGTCGGGGACCTGCATGTGGGCATCATCGGGGCCATCGTGAGCATACCTAGCTTCCGAACGAACCCAGAGCCTTCCAGAACCTCAGGAGACATGTTGAAATCGCCAGCCACGATCGAGTGGGTGGGGTCTGAGATAGCAGGGCCCAACTGGGCCAACAGAGCCGTGTTGATGGGCCCTAGTCCTTCCGCCGACTTCAGGTAAACCGAGAACAGCGATAACGTCGGCCATCCAGGGAAATCAACCAAAACTTTGAGTATACGATGGGGCGCCACTGGAGTCTCACCTTCAGGGGGCCATCTGATGCCCATACTCAATCTTCCAAAGATAGCAACACCTGCCGAGAACTTACCAGTCTCAGGGTTGAGGTAACTTGGGGCAAAAAGAGCATGCCAGCCAAGACGTCGCGCCTTGTCGCTGGCCCTGCCGATGAAGTCCGCACTGATGCCGACCTCCTGCGCACAAAGGAGAATCGCCGAGCTCTCGCGCAAGCGCCGCTTGAGCGTGGCCCAGCAGGAACCGTTGAAACTCTCGACCGAATACTGCCCAATCTCAGTATTGGACCTGGACGGGGCTCCCTTCAGAGGTGGGACGGGAGCACCTGTGCAGGAGAGAGGAATGCCACAACACTTGGGAGCTGGGCCGTCGAACATAGTGTCACCCACACTTTTGTTTCCTGGCCTGGACACCCAACTGCTTGAGAAGATCTCCGAAGGCACGCTTATTAGCTTCCTCTGCCCTGGCAGCTTCGATAACTTTGTCGATGCCTTCCTCCGAAATATCTTCCAAATCTGTGTCCATGGGAGTGGGGATGTTCTCACCCCCATCACTTCCACTGGCCCCTGGAGTACCGGGGCCACCAGGGTCCCCTCCCGAGCCCACTGGGGCCGAAGGAGGGGGAGGAACTTGGGCTGCCCGAGCCCGGCACTGCTGCTCGAACAACTTCTGGTATTCGGCGAACAGCGGGGAGGCCATGAACTGCTGCACTTCAGGCTTGTCCTTGACCGCGTCCGCGTCCAGGACACATGTTGGCACCGCACTGGTCGGGGCCACCTGCGCCATGGTAGACTGGAGCTCCAGCTTGGTGGCTTCGATCTCCACTCTGACCAGCTTGGCTTTCTCCTCCATCTTCTGCAGCTCAGCCTGAGCCGCCTGGATGAGGGCCTGCTGGGTCTTGATATCCTCGTCGAGGCGCTCCAGCTTGGCACTGGACCTCTGCAACTTGTGGCCCAGCGCCGTGTGTCGCGACAAAGAAGGCTTTGTAGAATTGAACTCCTTGCGCGCATCAGCTAGCTCCTTCTCCATGGCTTGCTTGATGGCGACAGGGAACTGCTCATCGCTTCGAATCCCTTGGAGGGTGTTCTCCAAGGACTTGATCTTGGCAGACAAAACTTTGGTGACCTCGTCACTGGCCATGTCAGCGCCTCCTCCATCTGCAGCATCAGGTGGTGCGCCTGCGGGCTGTGGGCGGCTGCCCGCCTGCTGGCCGAACTGCTTGACGAGGGATTCCATCTGCTTCTGCAGCGCACTGATGGATCGCACCACTGAGTTGGAAGCATCCTGCGGAGGACCACGAGCCCAAGCGCCACCAGGAGCACGAGGTGGCTTGCCACGGGGGGGCGACTGGAGCTCCGCTGCTGCTTTCTTAGCCTTATCGGTGATTGCCTGCGGGGCCTTCTTCCCGCACAGGCACTTGATGCGGGACGCGAAGTTGCTGTTGCGCCCGCAGGATGGACATCCCCACATAGGCGCCTTCGGGCCTGGTAGGACATCAGGGTCTTGCCCCATGCGGCTGCACAAGGCGCGTGGATAATGGAGGGATGAGGTCCCTCGGCCTGAACTGAAACCGAGCCGTTGGCTCGCAGCTGCGATTACCGCTCTGAAGACGGCAGCTGCAAGCCTAAGAATCACTTGGGCCAAAGCGGCTGGAGGAGGAGGAGGAGGAGGAGGAGGAGGAGGAGCAGGAGCAGGAGCAGGAGGAGGAGGAGGAGGAAGAGGCCTTGGGATGGCGTCTGCTTCTACGCCGTCCGCCTTCGCTGCCCTCCGCCCAAGGTGCGCATGAAGGCGTTGCGCGCACGTCCGGATCATCCGGCGCCCTTATGCGGCCTGCACCATCTGGCTGCCCGGTGGAGCCTTGCCGCCGTGCTGCCCGCCTTGCTGCGCCTCGCGCCTTGCGGGTCTGCCTCCCGGCGCCGCCTCGGCGCCGGCCGCACCGCGCTCCCTTGCCCGCTGCAGCGCGCCTCCGCTGCTGCCGCCCCCCCACAACGGGGCGTCCCGGCCCGCTGGCCGCCTGCTGCTCCCGCCCCCGCGTTTGCTGGGCCTGGCCCGCAGATAGATTTATGTAAAGATATATCGTTATATGTATACATATGTGTATATATATATGTATACAGATGTGCTTATTTACGTGTTTATGGACATGCATATGCATATGTATGTATGTATATATCGATAAATATATGTGTATATGTATATGTATGTATTAACACGCATATCTATGGATATGCCGATATATGTTTTTTTATATATATATATATATACATGTATATTTCGAAAACTACGTACATTTATTTTTTTTTTTATATATATATATGTATGCATTACTACATAAACCTATATATATATATATATATGGATATTTCGGTACACACAAATGTATAGATACATGTATAGTTTGGCGGCTGGCCCCGCCCCTGGGTGCGTCCGCGACGCCGCCCCGCGCCGATGCCAAGGGCTGCCCTTCAGCCCTGCCGAGCTGCGCGCTCCCCGGGGCCCCGCCGCGCGAGAGTGCCCCCGCGTCCCGCCCCCCCCCCTCCTCCGCGGCCGCCGCCCCCCCCCTCCGCTTCCACGCCTGCGCGCGGGTTACTCAGCAACTGCGCAGCCCGTTCCGGCTCCACGCGCGAGCGGATCGCCTCTGCCGCGCCGCGACGTAAAAAGTTCCTCCTTCTCCTCCTCCTCCTCTGCCTCCTCCTCCTCCTGCCTCAGCCCTCTTCACTCTCTCCCCCCCCCTCTCCCTCCTTATCCGATTCCTCCTCCATCATCCCCCTCCTGGGGTATGACGGCTTCCCCAGCCTGTCGCTCCACTGCATGCTCCTCCACATCCCTGATCAGGGCAACTCGCCTGGGCATCGTTTCTGGATGGGCTGGTGGGGTCATGGGAAGTGTCTAGGATAAGGAGGGTGGGAGAGGGGGATCAGAACAACGGCGGAGATGGATGGGGGGAGCAGCGAAGCGGAGTTGGAGTCGGAGTCCTAGAGGAAGCGGAACAACGACGGAGGGGAAGGGAAAAAGCGATACGACCAGAAGGACGGGACACCAGGACGAGGGGGAGGAGGGGAAGAGGGAGGCGGGGGGGAGGGGGAGCGGAAGGATGAGAAGCAGAAGGAAGGATAATGCCTGAGCAGTTAGTCAGTCTCGTCATGCTAGGTCCTAAACCGTACATGATGGCGATCGGATAATCGACCCCGAACACCTGCTTGCTCGCTTGTCGCTTCACGCTCACCTGAGCTTACCGACCCTACCGACGCTTCGGCCAGCTGCTCCCTAGCCCCCCAAGAGGCGCATAATGGGGCTGTTGCGGTAGCGGTCCAAGTGCATTTCCAGCCCCTGGTGCGGCTCACTCCAGCTGATGTGGCAGAGCTTCCTCTTCGGAACAGTTGCAGGAAGAGGTGACATAACAAACAAACAAATACGACAAACTACATGCACAATGCTTAGGCATCGGTGTCTAGGGCATGCTGCATGTCCCGTAGATATCGTCCTTCCCCACGGGGGGGGGAAGTCCAATGGGGGTCCCGGGGGGGGGTCCCGGGGCGGCTCGCCACCTAGCATCCACCCTGGGCGGTCCCGGGGCTCAGAAAAGCGCCAACGTCGTAGCTGAGACGGAAAGAACACCCCTTCGCTTTGATCCTTTCCCCGCTAGGGGGGGGGGGGTCCCGGAGGAGGACGCCACGCATACCCCCTGGCGGTGGCCCAGAACAGTTTCAACGTCGTAGCTGAGTCGGAAGCGAAGCCCCTTCCCTTTGATCCTTTCCCCGCCGGGGGGAAGTCCCAGGGGGGTGGTCCCGGGGGGGGGGGTCGCCACCCATGCAAATACGCATTGGGCGGTCCCAGGGCCCAGAATGGCGCCAACGTCGTAGCTGAGCCGGAAAGGAAGCCCTTTCCCTTTGATGCCTTTCCCGCACGGAGGGGGTGTCCCGGGAGAGTCCTGGGAGGGTCCCTGGGGGGGGTTCTGGGGAAGGGTCGTCACCCAGATGCGCATGCCCCCCGTGCGGTCCTGGAGCCCAGGCAAGCGCCAAGACGCGACAAGAGTGCCCTAAGAGCGACCCACAACGGTCCACAAGGGCCCCGAATCCGAAAACGATCGGTCCAAGACGCCACAACAGCCTTCAGACGGCGCAAAATGTTTCGAAGCCGCCCCCAAGAAACATCCCAGAGCAGTCCCAAGCGAGCCCCGAGAGGCAAAATTCGCCGACTCCCGATCGGTTTGTGATTCATTCTGGCGTTCTTGCCATCTCGGCTTCCCGACGCTCCTACCCGCCCCAGACGTCCCCAATGACGCCGCAAGATAGCCCAACAGGCCTCGAACAGCGCCCCAGAACGACCCCAGACAGCCCCAAGACGGCCCAACATGCCTCCACGAGACAGCCCCAGAAGCCCCAAAGACGGCCCCAAGAGGGTGCCCAGACTGACGACCCTACGAGCTTTCGGCGTCAGAGGCCCCGAGGAACCTCAGAGAAGCCTCCACAAAGCAGGCAAAAGCCTCCTCCTCGCCCTCCTCCTCCTCCTCCTCCTCCTCCCCCTCCTCCTCCACCTCCTCCTCCTCCTCCTCCTCCTCCTCCTCCTCCTCGTCTTCCTCGTCTTCCTCCTCCTCCTCCTCCTTCTCCTCCTCCTCCTCCTCCTCCTCCTCCTCCTCCTCCTCCTCCTCCTCCTCCCCCCCCTCCTCCTCTCTCGTCGCCGTCCTCTTCCTTGTCATGCTCCTCAAACTCCGATTCCCTCCGTCCTCCTAACGGCTCATTATCCTGCTCCGCCTCCTCTTCCTCCACGTGCTCCTCCCAGCTCCTCCGCCGTCACCTTTTCCTCCGCCTCCGCGTCACGTTTCCCCGACCCCTCTCCTGCTCTTCATCCTCCTCCACTTCCCCCTCTCCCACCAGCTCCTCCTCCTCATACCTCCTCCTGCTGCCCACCCCCCTCTCCCCTCCCCCTCCTCCAACTTGTCCTCGTCGTCATCGTCGTCGTTGTCTTCAGTGTCGGCGGCACCGGCCGTAAGGCCTTCTCAGTAGGACAAACTGGATGCACAATGCTTCGACACCGGTGTCTAAGGCATGTTGCATGTCCCGTAAGACATCGTTGTGGCATGTACAAACTTGCCATGCAAGTGCAACAAATACTGCGTGTCACCGCCTTTCGCCCAACGCTGCTGTCACTTCTCAATTCGGGACCCTCTCCACCCCCGTCCATTCGAACACCCCCCCTTCCACTCGCAATCCCTGATTCCTTTTCGCATCCACTTCCAGTCGTCCCCCAGCTTATGCCGAGGCTCTTCATCACCACCCAACTGGGGGGCGGATACAGTAAGAGCTCGACCACACGAAAGCTTCCACGAGAAACCCAACCCTGAGACCCCAGGATATCCATTGATTTTTCGTGGGAACGCCACGCTTTCCATCGCAAAACCATCGAAACCCAAGAACCCCAGGGCACCCCGGAGGCAAGCAGGGTGCTTCTTGGCTTACGTCGGGCACGCCCCCCTACAGGGGAATTTTGGACGAAAAATGCCACATATCCTGAAATTGCTCAAAAGTGCTCAAAACATCGTCCCCAGACTATCTTTTTGGCGACGTATGTTGGAGCATTCCCTCCGTAGAGGGACACGCCCGACTCAATTCTTGGCATGGGCTTCCTCTGCAGTGGGGGAAGGTCGGGTCGGGCGAAAGGGGGGGATAGCAAAGGGGGGGTTTGAGAATCAGCTCACGTAGCTGATTTTCCCGGCGCCCACCGGCGCCGGAGGCGGCTATGTATCGAAAAATGGGCCCCTCGGCGAGGCCGAAACCAGCTGCATGCAGCAAATTTCCCAACCCCCCCTTTCCCAATCCCCCCCTTTCGCCCGGCCCGAGAAGGCAGAGAGCAGGACGCGGCACGGAGGAGGGAGGGCGGCGCCCGCGGGGAGCGGGGGAGCGGGGGAGGCGCGGGGCGCAAGGCAGGAAGCTTGCCATCGCTTGGGCATCCGCTCCCCGTGCACTCTGTGGCCTCGTGGCGTGCAATTTTTTTCTTGTTCCAGCGCTATTTTGGGAGAAGAAGGAGGAAAGCAGAGGGGAATGAATCGCGAATGAACTGCCGAGCCGTCCCTCGGAAGATGGGCCCAGGTGCTCTTCGGTGGTGCTCCGCGAGAGAAGCGCACACGTCCAAGCGATGCCAGGGAAGCGGGAGAAGCGAATGGGGAGAGGGACGAGAGAGGAAGGAGGAAAGGAGAGGGGACGAAGGGATGGAGGGTGGACGGGAGGGAAACCGGGGCCCAATCCCGCCCACCTTCCACGCACGGCCCCTGGACCCCTCCCCTCCTTCTGGGGCGCTGCTTCCCCGGGGACCTCGCTCCCCCTTCTCGGCGGCGCGCCCGGGGGGGGGAAGCGAGAGGGGGCTGCTCAGAAGGTTCGGAAGGCCTCCGGCCTTCTGAGAAGTTTCCGGACGCAGGGAACTTCTCAGAAGGTCGGAGGACCTCTGAGAAGCCCCGCCATTCGGCGGTGGACAAACCTCCCTTCAGTAAACCACCCTTTAGTGAAAACGGCCTAAGACCGAAACCGACGGGCCTGGACCCGCAACAATGACGGCCGCGACGCCCTCTCGCGAAGTCGAAAACGGCCAATTCGCTAATCGACGTGTCAGGGTAGGAGGTCTGTCAACCTCCGCGCCACCCTCTGAGAAGGCATGCTCCTCCTCACTTCCCCCCCGGGCACGCCACAGATCTTCCCCCCTCGTCCTCACGACCTCTCACCGCGGTCGGCCTCGTTCTAACCCCCGGGGCCCGACGCGGGCCTCCCGAGGCCAGGCTTCAACGGGAACGCGGCTCGCGACCCTGGAACCCTTGATCGCCTACGACGACGGCGACGACGGCGACGGCGACGGCGACGGCGACGGCGACGGCGACGGCGACGACGACGACGACGACGACGACGAGGCGACGGCCTCTAAACCTGTCGTGCGACGCCGTCGCACTGGAACCGCACAGCGGAGCCGGCCGTCGCCAGGACGGCGCCCACTGAGACACCCCAAAGCGCCCGGCAGAGCCCACAAAGAGGCCCACCGATCGGCCCGCCAGCCCCGATCGACGACAAGGACGGCGACCGCGGCGGAGACGACGACGACGACCATGGGCCTCGATCGACGAGGAGGACGATTAAATGACAGCGGCGGGCGGCGTCGGGGCTCCGGCTGGGCAGGATCCAGTTGGAGTAGCCGTCGAACCTCCTCCAGAAGCGGGGCACGATGGCCGCGTCGACCTGGGCGGACAAGTTAGCACGGAGCTGGGGCGAGGGCAGCAGCGTGCGCGGATAGGCCGAGGAGCTCCCAGAGCCCGCGGCTCTGGGGGATGCATCGGGCGCCGCGGCCTTCTCGGAGCGTTCTGGAACGCTCTGAGAGCGTTCCAGAACGATCTGGAACGGGTTTATCCTAACCCTCACCCTGGGCTGCTTCCCACCGCCCCTGGGGCGGGGAAGCGGCCCAGGGCCCCTGGCATCGCTGGCTTTTCCACGGCGTGGCCTCCTGAGGGTCTCGACCCTGTCCCCGGGACGGGCCCCCCCCCCAAGGAGCTCCAGACACGCGACGCCGCGCGCCGGGACAGTGGCAGAAGCCTTTGGGGGAGCGGGGGGTAGGTTGCGCGCCCCTCCTAAGGGTGAGCAAATACTTTGTGCGCCCTCGTTTTTCCCAACTAGTGTTGGGTCCTCGTTTCGAAGAGACAGCGCCCCGCGTCACCTCACCTCCTCTCTCATCCCCCCTCCCTCTCCTTGCCTCTGCCCTCATAAGTATGCGTCTCCCCCACCCCCCACTACAGCGCTTCGTGGCCCCATAGGGAGCTCCACCGAAGGCCCCAGCGGCTGCACTCGCATGCGTCCCCCCCGCCTGGGAGACGCATTCTAACACCGCTATTGGGGCCTTCGGTGGAACTCCCCATGTGGCGACGAAACGCAGTGCTGGGCAGAGGACGCATGCGAACGCCGCCATTGGGGCCTTCGGTGGAGCTCCCCATGGGGCCACGAAGCACTGTATTGAGTGGGCCACAGGGGCCTTCGGTGGGGCTCCCTATGGTGCCACGAAACGTGTGAGGGGTGTGCAGACATGCTTGACTGGTGCGGAGGGCAGAGGCAGGGATGGGAGGAGGGAGCAGGGTGAGGAGAGATCAGGGGAGGGGAGGGGAGGGGAGGAGAGGAGAGGAGGAGACGCGGGACGCTGTCTCTTCGGAACGAAGACCACCCAACACCACAAGATGATTGGGAATCATTAATGCCAACATTGTTGAGTGGCTTACGGCCCATCTCGCCACCGTGCTTGGGTTGTGGGTTAGAAGCCTCGCGGTGGGGATACTCGAAGTCTTAGGAATTGCCGTCTAGCTGTAAGTGAAGTCCCGCGTAAGCGAACTATGCTGTGAGTGGAGTCCAGCTGAAAAATAGCCGTTCAGCTGTGTGCGTATAATGTGAAGTCCAGCGGTAGCCGAAGACTCAAGGCTGTAAGCACATGTTCGTCAGCGTGGGCCCCAACTAGTTTGCTCTTGCATTCTCGGTGCGAGAAGTGATAGCTCCATCAGTGCAAGCACTGTTTTGGCGAAATGCCATCTGCTGCACAGCGTGACAGGCACATACTTGACAGGCAGTGCAACTGCAGCGGATGCTACAACACCGTGTGGCTACCCAGCATAAAAAAAACATTCTCTGCCAAGGTAGTCGCCCACAGTAGGTGCGCACACGCGCGCACACACAGTGGAAGAGTCAGCGGAGCCATGCCGACTGATTCGAACGTGAGACACCAACGCTGCAAGTCAGAGTGCGAAGGTACGGAAGCTGCCCGGCCGGCGCGCAGGCTCCGGCTGCGCTGCCCTGCCAGGGAGCTGCGGCGGGGCTCGGGCGCCGCCCGCGCCCTCCAGGGACGCCGCGGCCGCGGCGGCCTCCGCTGGCGATGGGGCTCCCGCCCCACGCTCTGGCGTGTTGGGCACGGGCGCGTTGGCTCGCGCGGCGCGCCTGGCAGTGCTGGTCCAGCACTGCCCCTGCCGACCAGCCACAACCGGGGGAGCTGTGGTCCCTACCCCCCTGGGGGAAGCCCTCGCGTCGACGCTCTCTCGAGAGGGGTGTCGAAATCGATGGGTCCCCCAGGGGGGTAAGGACCACAGCTCCCCCAGTTGTGGCTGGCCTGCCCTGTATCCACCTGGGATTCTGGGCAGCGAACTTCCCCACGCGCGAACCTTGGCCCGAACCCTGGGGCCAATCCTCGCCATCTGCCGGAGCCACGGCCACTGAGAGCGTGCTGCTGACACAGAGGCGGAAACGATGATGAAAAAGGGCTGAAACAGAAGCGAACCCCGCTCTCACTGGCAGGCTCGTAATCTTCATTGCCACTCAAAAGCCGACTATTCAGCGGCATACACAAGCCCAAACGTGCAAGTCATCTCGCTGGTCCGTCTGAGGATATCGCAGCACATGCGGTTCGGTGTGGCATATTTCCGACCAAGAACGCCAGCGAGCATCTCGAAGGCACTCGTGCAGCTCAACATGGTGAACTCTGATGACAAAGCGTCCACCCAAACTGCAATCTCGGATGCACCATACACTTCAGAGAACTCAGACCCTTCCTCAGAGGTAACCTGAGTGGGCTCGACCTCGCTCGTCACTTGAGAGATATCTTGAGCACTAGAGAATACATGCCCAATTGACTGCGAGCCTCCCCAGGCTGTCTGGGGTTCCTGGAAGCCCCTGCTGGGCCTAGGGAACGTGCCCAAATCGGTCAGGAGGGCGACTGAACGGCCCCGCGAGAGCCCCATGAGGCCCAAGACATCTACCGGACGCCCGAAGACTACCCAAAGAAGACCCCAACGAGGCTTTCGACATGCAGAAAAACATGGATTGCCATTGGTTGCTGCATGATTCTGGAAATGATATGCTATTCGGTCTTCCAGGCGTCCGAGATCGCACAGGAGACCAGATAATCACCCCCAAACTACCCAAAAGGACTTCCAGGCAGTGCAAGAGCCCCAACGGCCCAAAATGGCGCAAAACGCCTCCCAAAGCATTCCAAATCGTGACCCGGTCGTTTCGGAAGACCACGGTTGGAAGCAGGGAACCCTTCACAACTTTCGTGATGCCCCCAAGAGGCTCTCCAAAGAGGAAGCTCGGCGAAAAAGCTGAGGACGGGGACGAATTCAAAGGGTAGGACGGTAATGAGGAAGAGGACAACACATGAGGGGAAACATATCAGCCTGGCGAAGGACCCAACCATATGCAGTTGTGAGTAACGCAGTTGTGAATATCGTCGTCGGTTGAGCTCCCCCTGGGGCCACGAAACATGCGTGGGATATGTCGAAATTGACGCGGTGGTGCCATGCGAGCGCAGCCACTGGGACCTTCGGTGCTCCCTATGGGGCCCCGGAACATGTAAGGCGTGTGTCTATATGGGCGCGGGGCGCGCATGCAAACACCGCCACTGGGGCCCTCGGTGGAGCTCCCTATGGGGCCACGAAGCGTGCGAGGTGTGTGTGTGTGTGTGTGTGTGTGTGTACCGAATTTGGAGCGGTGGGCGCATGCGAGAGCAACCACTGGGGTCCTCGGTGGAGCTCCCTACGGGTCCACGAAACGTGTGAAGGGTGTGCCGAAATGGGCGCGGTAGGCGCATGCGAGCGCGACCCATGGCACTGGGACCCTCGGTGGAGCTCCCCATGGGCCCGAGACGTGAAACGGGTGTGCCGAAACAGGTGCGGTGGGCGCATGCGAGCGCAGCCATGGGGGCCCTCGGTGGAGCTTCTTATGCGGTTGGCGCATGCGCGCGTAACCACTGGGGCCCTCGGTGGGGCTCCCCTACGGGCCCACGAAACGTGTGAAGGATGTGCCAAAATGGGTGCGGTGGGCGCATGCGAGCGCAGCCACTGGGGCCCTCAGTGGAGTTCCCTATGGGGCCACGACACGTGTGAGGGGTGTGCCGAAATTGGCGCCGAGGGCGCTCGCGAGCGCAACCACTGGGGCCCTCGGTGGAGCTCCGTGTGGGGCCTCGAAACGGGTGAGAGGTGTGCCAAAATTTGCGCGGTGGAGCCATGCGAGCGCAGCCACTGGGGCCCTTGGTGGAGCTCCCTATGGGGCCACGACGTGTGTGAGGGGTGCGCCGAAATTGGCGCGGAGGGCGCTCGCGAGCGCAGCCACTGGGGCCCTCGGTGGAGCCCGTGTGGGGCCTCGAAATGTGTGAGAGGTGTGCCAACATGTGCGCGGTGGTGCCATGCGAGCGCAGTCACTAGGGCCCTCGGTGGGGTTCCCTATGGGGCCACGCAACGTGTGAGGGATGTGCCGAAATTGTTAATTGGTGCAGAGAGCAGAGGCAGGTATTGGAGGACGAGAGGAAGAGGAAAGAGAAGAGAAGATACGCGGCGCGCAATCTCTTCAAAACGAGGACCCGGCACCGCAACACGGTTGGGAATTATCCGGGCGAAAGACCCATCCATATGCAATTGTTAGTGCCGCTTGTGGGTACCGACCTTCAGTGGAGCTCCCCGTTGGGCCACGAGATGTGTGACGAGTGTGCCGAAATGGGCGCGGTGGTGCAACGCGGGCGCTGCAGTGGGGCCTTCGGTGGAGCTCCTTGTGGGGCCACGAAACGCGCGAGGAGTATGCCGCAACGGGTGCGGTGGTGCCATGCGGGCGCTGCCACTGGGGCCTGAGGTGGAGCTCCATATTGGGCCGCATGAAGGGTGTGCCAAAACGGGCGCGGTGGGCGCATGCGGGCGCTGCCATTGGGGCCGTCGGTGGAATCGTGTGAGGGGTGTGCCGAAATACGCGCGGTGGTGTCATGCGGGCGCAGCCACTGGGACCTTCGGTGGAGCTCCTTACGGGGCCATAACACGTGCGCGGGGTGTGCCGAAACGGGTGCGGTGGTGCCATGCGAGCGCAGCCATCGGGGCCCTGTATGGGAGTCACGAAGCGTGTGAGGTGTGTGCCGAAATTGGCACGCGGAGAGCAGAGGCAAGAATGGGAGGATGGGGAGTAGGAGGCAGCGGAAGGAAAGAAGGAGACGCGGGGCGCTCTTCAAAACGAGGACCCCAAACCACAGGATGGGTGGGAATGACTCGTGCCATTATAGCGACGATGTCGTAAAAGGAAACAACTCTGCAGACAACATTGGCGCTTCGCGCCATGCATCTTGGTCCTTGACGTTTGGCATGCGAACTGAATGGCAGGAAAATAACACGGAACACTGAGCGATAACTCCTTGTTTCTTTTCCGGCATCGTCGTTATTCCGTATCCTTCTCTCATGCCTCCTCTTTCTCTTCCTCATTCTCGCCCTACCCTGCGACTTCGTCCCCGCAAACCTTAGCTCTTTTTGCGGAGGCTCCTCCTGGGAGAGCCTCTTGGGGGCCTCGCGAAAACGTTCAGAAGGTTTCTTGGGGCCTTCTGGAAGCCTCCTAGGTTCCGTCCGGGGCCTTTGGGGGCTTCCTCGGGCCACCCTGCTTCCAACCGTGGTCTCCCTGAACGACTGGGTCACACTTTGGAATGCTTCGGGGGGCGTCTTGGGACCATCTTGGGCCGTCATGGTGCTCTCTTGCACTACTTGGAAGTCCTTTTGGGCAATTTGTAGGTGATTTGTTGGCCTCTTGGGCGGTCTCGGACGCCCGGAAAACCGAAGAGCAGATCATTCCCCCAATCATATCAGCACCAGTTTGAACAAAACAATGTGTTCTGGCGTTTCGAATGCCTCGTGGGGTCTTCTCTGGGTAGTCTTCGGGCGTCTGGTGGATGTCTGGGGCCACTTGGGGCTCTCGCAGGGCTGTTCGGCCACCCTCCTGACCGATTTGGGCACGTCGCCTAGACCCAGCAGGGGCTTCCGGGAGCTCCAGAAAGCCCGAGGCATCTTCTGCAGGGGCGTCCAGGGGTCCCCCGAGGCCACGGATCGGGGGGGTCATTTTGTTAGGGGGGCGAGGGGGGAGGTGTTTCCCCTCCAGTAATACAAATATGCACAATGCGCATTATAATGTATGTATGTGTGTATATATTCGTGCGTACATAGCTCTATACGAACACACAAAGATGTCTCGATTCGTTTGTATCTATGCACATATGTAGCCTGCCGTATATAATACGCATGGGTGTAGACATGTACTTGTATATGCATGTTCATGAATCTAGTGATGTACATATATATATATATATCTTACGATACGTGAATATAGTATATCGCCATATCTGAATCTATACACAGGGTTATGTGTATGTACATATATGTACATGTGAGAGAGAGAGAGAGAGAGAGAGAGAGCGTGATCCACCGCCGCTTTACTGTGGAAAATTCCCCCCCTCTTCCTCCGGAACCCGGGGTTCCCCCCCCCCCCTGCTGGAACCCCACCTCGCCCCCTCCTCCCCCGGCAGAACCCCCCCCCTCAGCTAACCCCTCCCCCCCCCCCTCCCCCTCGAAAACCGGGGGGGGTCACTACCGGTTCGAACCCCCCCCCTCGAAAACTGGAGGGGAGGTCACTACCGGTTCGAACCCCTCCCCACCCCCTCCACTCACCGCCAGCAAACGACTCCCGGTCCCTACCACCGTCCGCACCACATCCCCAACTGTTGTTCCCAGCACCACTGTCCTCACCACCACTGTCCCCACTGGTTCCACCACCGTCCCTACTGTCCCCACCAGTGCCCCCACCACTGTCGCACTGTCCCCACTGTCCCCACCACTGTTCCCACCACGGTTGCACTCTCCCCACTTTCTCCACGGCCTCAACCACTGCCCGACTATCCCCACTGTCCCCACTGTCCCACTGACTCCTCCGCTGTTCCACTGAGCTGTCCCACTGTTCCCACCACTGTCCCCACTGTCCCCACCACTGTCCCCACTGTACCTCTGTCCCATTGTCCCACCGCCGTCCTCGCCACCGCCTTCACCACTGTCCCCACCACCACTGTACCCTCCACTGTCCTACTGTTTCCACCACATTCCCACTGTCCCCACACCACTGTCCCCACCACCACCGTCCCCACCACTGTCCACTGTCCCCACTGTTCCCACCATTGTCCTCACCACTGTCCCCACCACTACCGTCCCCACCACTGTCCCACTGTCCCCACCGCTGTCCCGCTGTCCCCTCACCACTGTCCCCACCAACACCGTCCCCACCACTGTCCGCACTCCCCCTCGGTTTTCGAGGGGGGGGGGGGGTTCGAACCGGTAATGACCCCCCCCGGTTTTCGGGGGGGGGTTCGAGCCGGCAATGACCCCCCCCCTTTTCATGATGGACTGGGAGGGGGGGGGAAGGGGTTCGAACCGGTAGTGACCCCCCCCTGGTTTTCCGGAAGGGGGGGGGGAAGGGGTTCGAACCGGCAGTGACCCCCCAGTTTTCCGCCAGCAGCGGTAGAACACGCTCTTTCACATTTGAACATACTCATAAATACACACATATATATATATATATATAAATTGAGGCAGTTCGGCCCCCCCGAACAAAGACAGTCTGCGGCATTGAGCTGGCATGTTACTGACCCCCGACAGGCTTACCCCGACTAGCAGGTGTGTGTATGTTCGTGTGTATATATATATATATATATATATATGTGTGTGTGTACCTGAATCAAGACAGTGCGGCCCCGACAGCAGAAAGTTAGCGAAATTGAGCCTGCATGCTACTGACCCCCAAAAGGCTGACCCCCACTAGCAGGCGAAGGACAGGAGGGACTGGAGCAGGAGGAAGAGGAGAGGGGGGAAACTGGCGGGGGGCTCGATGCGAGGGCGACCCAAGACCCAAGACCTGCCAGCGGAGAGTTTGTTTTTCAATCCCCCGTCTCTTCCTCTGTATCGGACTCCATGGCCCGACTTCGGGGCCCCAGGGACTGGGGCCATCTGGGCGACGGAAACAAAAAAACAAGCTCTACGCACGATTACGTAACGACTTTCTGCCGGGGCTTACGCGGGCCGCCAGCGCGGCACGCTCCGTTGGGAATGTGGGTGCCAACGCGCCGCCTTACGCAGGCAGCGGGTGCAAAGGGAACAAGTGGAGCCACAGGGAACAGGTGGAACAGGGAGGGGGTGGAAATTCAGGGAACACGTGGAACCACAGGGAGGGGGTCGAGAGCGAACTCAGCGAACTGACAAAAACCAGCCCGCCGAAAAACCCTGCAGGGAAGCGGGTGCAAAGGGAAAGCAGTGGAGGGACGGGGAGAGGGGGGGGCACAGGGTGAAGGAAAGGAGGGACAAAACACAAGGCAGCGTGCGTTGATGCCCGGATGACCAGGTTGATGAACGCGTAACCGAGGCAAGCGCGGGTTTTGAAATCAATGGGAAGGTAAACGAAATCGTACTGCTTCGAGAACCCCTCGTTGTCCAGCATCGAGAGCAACATGGCACGTGTGTAGTTGTTCGGCAAATTCCGCAACATCACCGTGGTGCGCGTCGGGAATCCTTCCTGTCGGGGTGGGCCACAACGTGGGTTATCGAACCGACCAACTATATTGTGCCAGCTCCACCGGACACGGTCCGATGCGGTAAATACTTCGGGATGCGAAGCAAACGGCGCTGCCCATGTACATGGAAGGGAGGCACGGGAGAAAGGACGAATCTGGTCGCATGTGTCGTTATGGATACAGGTAACATGTGCAGCACAAGCGTCGACAAGAGGGCGGCGACTTCAGTGCACATCGAAACGAAGAGCGGCGAAATACATGCATTTCCCCGTTTAGGCGCACCGATACGCCAGACACGCCCGCGCATCCGAGGGCCGCATGGCTGCGAAACGGAAGCCACATTCACGCATTGGTGTCTCCTTCGCACTTGTTGTCCTGTCTTCTCGCATGTGTGTGTGTGTGTGTGTGTGTGTGTGTGTGTGCACTTCAACACTGGCTTCGGTTCCAGCGGCCGTTGCGCAGCTGGGTCGACCACCCCAAATCGGCGAACAACTCATATGGAGTCCTCCATCACGCTTGCTGTGTTGTATCATATTTGTTTTCGTAGTCGGTGTTGTCTTCAATCCTTGCTGCTGCTGCTGCTGCTGCTGCCATGCGACCGTCCGGTTCAGAGGATTTCGAAGATCTGGCAGTCTGGTTTTGCACGCCGCCAGGCTTGGACGCGTCGGCCACCGCCACTGTCGCTGTCGCCGTCGCTCGGATCGGTGGCCCTGACAAAGGGAGCGGCGGCGGCAGTGGCGCTGCCGAGTCGCGCCCATCGTCCACCAAGGCAGGGAGGTGTAAACCCGATCTGCCTGGCTGATGCTCGGGCGTGGGCCTTGTGCTCGGGGGGCGCTGCAGAACCGCTCGAATATGCGCTATCAATCATATCAAAAGGGGCCCTGGGACACAAATGAATAGACATATGAGTTTGTGCATCTCGGATTAGGCGTATTAGTTTGTGCATCTCGAGTGGGGATTCCGCTTCAAACTGCGGGAGCACTGCGAATTGCCTTCGGGTCAGCTCACCCAAGTCGGCTTTCAACTCACACGGGTGCCCAATTTCCTTCCCCATTGACCATTGATCCCCCACTCGTGGACAGACAACGACGACTCCAGAGAGCCAGTGCCCCTAGTGCCCCTAGCGCCAGAAAATCCGCTGGCAACGAAGATGCATCTGGCGACCGAGGACTCCTCGAGCGGCGACCGCACTCGGAAATACCAGCGCCCACGCGTCTTTGGAAGGGGGAGCAGAGAAGGGAGAATAGGGGAACAAAAAGTGGCATAAACATAAAAACTCGGAGGTCCGCGCGGATTTCTCGGATATGCGCTGGACCTCTTTCCCTGGCGCGCCGAGCGCGCCAGGGGCGGCGCCGGAGGCGCCGCCGGGGGGCCCCAGCGCCGATCCGAGAAGTCTGCGCGGACCTCAGAGTTTTTATGTTTATGTCACTTTTTGTTCCCCTAATCTCGGAGGTTGCTGAAGGTGCCCCTGGCCCACGGTGTCCCCAGCTTTTCGCTCCGTTTTGGAGCCCCTGGGGCCCTCTGGGCCTCGTGAGGGGTTCGCTGGAGGCCGTGGGGCCTCCTTGGAAATCCTGGGGGCACCTTGGGCCAGGGGCACTTCTAGCAACATCCGATAATCTAGAATAGGGGGAAAACAAGCCTACCTCGCTTTTGACCACCCTCGCTTCCAAGGGATACCAAACGATGCCACATTGCAGCCTGTACTGGTCAGACCGCCTGACGAGGAGGCGCGTGGTATGGCTTGGTTTTGCCTGGAAGCGAAAGCGGGGTAGGTAATCCACGCTCTGATTCTAGCAACATCCGATAATCTGGAAGAGCAGATGGCCTGCCGGGTGACGTGGGATGGGTTGCAAACGTCAGCGCCCCTCAAACGGGGACTCCACTAACGGGTACTTTGGCCAGTGACCCAGCGAACCCAACCCTTCCCGATGTGGGCAAAGCTGCAATGCAAGAAAAAGGCCCTAAAGTGGCAACTTTCGGCAAAAAATCAAAGTACCCGTTAGTAAAAAACCGTTACGGTGCCGTTGCAAACGAGGCGTGCGGATGCCGCCGGGCGTCGCGCGTGGGGGACTGCGCGGGGCGAGCCGCGCGCAGAGGGTCCCTGACCAGACGGGCCGGGCCTGCGAGCGGGCCGCCGTCGGGCAGTCCTCGGAGGCAGCTCGTGGGAGCCTCCCATCCCATCTTGTCGGCTCTTGCGAATCGACGTTCGTCGACGCTGAATCGACGCTAATCGACGCGAAGTCGACGCTCATCGACGCTGAATCGGCGCTACCTCATCGACTCCCAGACGCTAATCGACGCTAAAAGACGCGAGAGACTTGAAAGGGTGTACCAAACCCCATGGTTTGCTTCCGGGACAGTCCCTCGGGTTCGTCACGGTCACGGCTGAGGACTGCCAGTGGGGGGCACCTTGCGATGGGGCGCACCCCAACTAGCAGCTTGCTGCCGGGAGTTCCTTGCGAGGGCCCGCCCTGGCTGACATCCCCACTATCGCCTCTTCATGGGTGTCCCCCCTTCGAAACGAACACGTCATGCGAGGGGCGCACCCCAACTAGCAGCTTGTTGCCGGGAGTTCCTTGCGAGGGCCCGCCCTGGCTGACAGCCCCGCAAGCGCCTCTTCATGGGTGTCCCCCCTTCGAAACGAACACTTCTGCTGGGTAGTCGAAGCCAATCTGGCGCCAATCTGGCAGGCCCAATCTGGCAAACGGGGGCAATCCGGCGAGGGAGCCAACGCGAATCCAGTCTAGCGAATAACCCAAATCCTCCAGTTTGGCCAGGCCAGATTGGCCCTTGGGGCCCAATCCAGTCTGACAGTCTGGCCTTCGACTACCCAGGAGGAGGAGGAGGAGGAGGAGGAGGAGGAGGAGGAGGAGGAGGAGGAGGAGGAGGGGAGGAGGAGGGGAGGAGGAGGAGGAGGAGGAGGGGGAGGAGGAGGAGGAGGAGTCTCGGATTTCTGCGGTCGGCGCTGGCGCGCGCACGGCGCTGGCGGGGCGGCGCTGGAGAGCGCCAACCGACCCCTTCGCAGGCCGCGCGGGGGCCCCAGAGGTCGTGCGCCTGTGGCGCAACGCGGCTCCCCGGACGTCGGACGAGGCAGATGCCATGGTGCCATTGGCTCGAGATGCGTTCCGGGCATTCTGGAGGATCTGGCGGCCCTCGTGTTCTGCAGCCCGCGTGGAGCATCCCGGAATCTTGGGAGTCCTGTAAGTCATGAAGCGTATCATCATCATAATCATAATCATCATAATCATCACCATCATCATCATCATCATCATCATCATCAGCATCATCATCATCATCACCATCATCATCATCACCACCACCACCACCACCACCACCACCATCATCATCATCATCATCATCATCATCATCATCATCATCCCCATCATCACCGTCACCAACATCATCATCACCGTCACCATCACCAACACCACCATCATCATCATAATCGTCGTTATCATCATCACCATCACCATCGTCATCACCACCATCGTCGTCGTCATCATCATCATTATCATTGCCACATCATCACCATCATCATCAGCATCGTAATCATTATAATCAGTATCGCACACATCATCATCATCATCATCATCATCATCACCACCACCATCATCATCATCATCATCATCCTCATTATCACCATCATACTCATCATCATACTCATTATCATCATCAGCATCATCATCAGCATCAACATCAACATCAGTCATCATCATCACCATCATCATCATTACCATCACCATCACCATCACCATTACCATTACCATCAATCATCATCATCATCACTATCATCACCATTACCATCACCATCACCATCACCATCACCATCACCATCATCATCATCATCATCATCATCACCATCACCATCATCATCATCATCATCATCATCATCATCATCATCATCATCATCATCATCATCATCATGCAGTCGTGCTCCTCTGACCGAAAGTCCGGGGCGTCCAAGAGGTGGGGGCCAAGAGAGGGGGAGCCCACGCATCATGCCCCGAGGCAGGTGTGCGGACGCGGGGTGGCCCGGGGGACGCACTGAACGGAGAAGGCGGAGCCACGCGATACGGAAAGATATCATGGCCGCGGCCACGACGCCCACACTACCCCTCAATTCGGGGATGGACAGACCCCCCTTTAGTAAAACGTGGTTTGGTGAAAACGACCTGAGGCCCAAACCTGGCGGTCGCAAGCCTGGAAAATAGCGGCCACGGCGCCCTCTCGAAAACCGAAAACGGACAATTCACTAATCGACGTGTCACTGTTGGGGGTTCTGTCCATCCCCGATCAATCCTCACCATCCTCTTGCTTGAATGCTCCCGCTCCCCTCGGCTACACGTAAGAGTGACCCTGGGCGAGTCACCTTCGGAGCGCGACTTCCGGGGGCCGCGGGAAGGCCGAACCGGAGCGCGCAGGCCGCTGCGATCGCATCAGATTCGGCCACCTCGGGGCCACGCTGTGCCCGCACCGGAGGTCACTCCGGCGAAAGGTCACTCTTACGTCCGGTCGATCCCCGTGTTTCGCACCGCCCGATCCTGCTGCTCCGGTTGAAACGGCGCGGGCTTCTGGCCCTCCGCCTGGGAGGACACCGGGCCGCGTGGGGAGCAGATTGAGTGGGTAAGAGAACTGCTGCGCGGGGTGTCCAGAGAAAGCAGTACCCCCCCTTAGGATGTGGGGAGTCCATGCTATTATTTTTCCTCTGACGAGTGGGAACGATAGGAGGGAAGCCTCGACCTGGAATCGGCGATACATCGTCGACAGATGACAGATCGGCGGCCATGGGCTCTCGACCGCGAAACCGCCCTTTCCTGGCAGGGGTGGGCCAGCGAGCCCCTATCGGCGATGAATGGGCGTTTGGGTGTCCCCCTCAGCTCAGCCATGCTTTGTCTCGATTTGTTTGAAGGGGCCCTGGGACACACAAATAAATACACACAAATAAACAGATGCCCCATATTTTCCCATATCTTCTGGGTTTTTGTCCTCCCCACCACTTCCCATATTTTCCCATGTTTTCCGGGGAGTCGACGACTAATTGTGGCTGTGTGTTTCTTCCCCTCCTGATTGTTGAATGCAGGGTCCCTGGAAATGCCGACCCTTTCCCCAGGGCAAGTCCTTCTTCGAGCGTCGTTTTGACCCTGCCTGGGCGCGGCGGGCGGCCCGGGAGGCCGAAGACGGCCAACAGCCTCCCGCCGCGACTGCTTTTACGACGCGAGCATGCCTGGGAGCCCATCTTTTCGTACACCCTGCGAAATGCTTTAGAAATCATGGGTTAAGAAATTCATAGTCTCAGAATTTTAATAAAAACCCATAATGTCTATTCAAATCTTAGGATTTACATTGAAACATTAAGAATAATCGAGACTCTGGCCGAAAACTTAAGTTTTCTTAAGCATCGCCTAAGGTGTATTTGTCGGGGATGGACAGACCTCCCTTTAGTAAAACGTGGTTTAGTGAAAACGACCCGAGGCCCAAACCTGGCGGGCGCAAGCCTGGAAAATAGCGGCCACGGCGCCCTCTCGAGAACCGAAAACGGACAATTCACTAATCGACGTGTCACTGTTGGAGGTTCTGTCCACCCCCGAATTTGGACGCCCGAAACTGGTACCGAAACACATGGTACAGTCGGACCTAGGTCAGAATAATATCCTTCAAGAACATGGGACACTCCGCCAGCCGAAATGAAGAGCATTCGAGGGTACCATGCCCCAGGATGCGCAAGAACATCCAACAATCACGAACCGACCTCGATCTTATACCTCGTTCCGACTGCACGATGCCCAACCACAGATGTTGTCCAACACCGACGCCGGCCGCTGTTGGGCAGGCGGCCTCCTGTCTCAAATGGGCAACGACCGCGGCCTCGCAAACGGCGAGCCCTGTTCAGAGTGAGCAGCTACCGCTCTTGGGAATTGTATCCATTGTATCCGTACCCCTTCCGATCGTACCGATCCTACCCCTGAGGACCTCTTCCGAGGTGCGCTCTGACCGGGGCCGCAGATCGGGCCAGGCCGTGTCGACGAGTGCCCCCCCGAGGAGGCCAAAAAGAGCGCGAGAAAGAAAGGCTCTTCCCAGATGTCTCATACATGTATAAATATGTACACGGAACGCACAAGGACGTGCTAGTACTATCAGTCCTCGTGGAAGGCGTGCGTCCGTTCCGAACGGAATAGTGCAATCATCTTGTAGTAGATCGCTTCCCGAGCGGGCCAGAAAACGCCCGCCACGGAGCTTATACTACAAGATTTCTCGGCGCCCGCGTCGCCCTTCGGGGGGCGACGCACACATAGTATTAGTATGTAAGGGTGACGCCGAGTATATATACACCGGGCCCCAGAAACTCCCGACCCCTTTCCCAGGGCCGGCTTCTTGCATCCCGAGTCCTTCTTCGACGGCCCCGGGGCCCTGCGAGGGCCCCCCCAAGAAGATGGGAACTGCGAAACCGCTCCGCGCAGCACGGCCTCCCAAAGGTCTAGATCCCTTTCCCAGGGCTGGCTTGTCGTCCTGATCAATTGTTTGGCAATTCCGAGGGCCCCTGTCGGCGACTCCGAAGGGTGTGGTTTGCCAAGGGTGCGGCTTGCAACCGCCATCCCTGGAGGACACCCGAGGGGGGCGGGCGGCGCACTCGATTGAGCTCTCCGCCGAGCCCCGAGGAGGCCTGACGAGGACAGTGGCGCACCCCCCCGGGCCCCAGCGGTGCCGAGCCCCAACCGCGCCCTCGCGTAACCACACCCTTTCCCAGACACGCGACGTCCAGATGTCTCGGGTCGGGCGAAAGGGGGGGATAGCAAAGGGGGGGGTTGAGAATCAGCTCGCGTAGCTGATTTCCCCGGCGCCTCCCGGCGCCGCAGGCGGCTATGTATCGAGGAATGGGCCCCTCGGTGAGGCCGAAACCAGCTGCATGCAGCAAACTTCGTAACCCCCCCTTTCCCAATCCCCCCCTTTCGCCCGACCCGAATGTCGTCGATACGCGGTCCCCGGAAGCCCCGACCTGCTCCCCCTTGGACCGCTCCTGCCGGGTGGGGTCCTCTCCTGCACGTCCCCCCCTGGTTGTGGGGCCCAGCGAGGGCACCCGCGGAGGCCGAGCCTCGGCCAACATCCGCCCGCCCCGACTTCTTGCTTCGCGACGCGAGCACGTCTGGGCCTGGGCTCCGGCCGCCGAGATCGGCGCAGCTGCAGGGCAGTTTCTAATGCATGGGATGTTCAACCATATGGCACGTGTTTATTCACGATGGATGTGTGAATAAGTTTATGTGCATGGATTCGTCGTTGTTTTTGATGCCGTATCCCTGCACTTTTGAGACATGATCCGCGCGCGGAGCATGTATAAAACACGGCACTGAATGCCTCTTGTGGTCGCCGACCCTGGAGGCGCGAGGGGGTCTGGGCTTCTCCTCTGACCGCCGGCGTCGGCGCCCGGGCTCCTGGGGGCCCCACCCGCAGGGAGCCCGCACACACCCTGCGAGATGCTTAAGAAATCATGGGTTAAGAAATTCATAGTCTCAGAAATTGAATAAAACCCAGAACTTCTGTCAAAATCTTGGGATTTACATTGAAAAGTTAAGAATAATCGAGACTCTGGACGAAAACTTAGGTTTTCTTAAGCATCGCCTAAGTGTAGGGGCGTAGAGTCGGGCTGCTGAAAAAAAAGAGCGCTGAGCAAGGACCGAGGCCCCCTTTTGGCACCGAAAAGGCCTGGGTGCACAAGAGAGGCCGAGTGAACAAGCGCGGGAGGACCCAAGGAAGAGCGAGCCCCTTCCGAACCCAGAGCGCTCCTGACTTCAACGCGTTGCAGCGTCTTGACTGCACGCGCCCGACCACGTACATGAACACGGCCCCCCAGTCCGCGAGACCAGCCGCGTGATACGAATGCTCGCGCAATTCGTACTCTCGGAACCAAAATAAATTCATGTACGTGTACGTCCTTCTTTCGCTCCTGAACTCAGGCCTCCAGCGGCCGTTCGGGAAGATTCCGGCAACCCCAGACGCCAGAACGCACTCGACCAGTCGCAGCTGATGGAAATCACCCTGGGCTTCGAAAACTCTCGAACATACCACCAGTCCTTAGGTGGTCTTGGGAGGCTCGTCTTCCAGCCCCCTCCTTCCCCTTCGGGGAGGGGTGTACCCCTCAACAATTACTCAATATGAATACTACTCTCCCTCTTCCCCTGATGACGGTTTGAAAGTATTAGCCCCCCCCCCCCCCGCGTACTGTTTTTTTTGCACACAGGATTCCCCGGAGTTGGGTTTTCGCCGGCATTTTTTCCAAAATGCTGCTCTCGCTGAGGCGCTGGCCTCATTTTCGGGCCCCGCTCGTTCCGAATTGTGCTCCCGCTGCAGCGCTGGCCTCATTTCCGTGCTTCCGCTCGTTCCGAATCGTGCTCCCGCTGCAGCGCTGGCCTCATTTCCGCGCTTCCGCTCGTTCCGACTCGTGCTCCCGCTGCAGCGCTGGCGTCATTTCCCGTGCCATGCCACGCCATGCAATGCAATGCTAGGTTGATACTACGCTTTGCAGTGCTCTTCTACGCCATGCCATGCCGTGCTCTACAATGCATCGCGTACCCTTTCGGGATCATTGCCCTGCTCGACATCCGACTGTGCGAGTAGAGAGGAGATCTACGCCATGGTAAGGGATGGGAGGGAGGGGTAGGATGTTAGATATGACGCGAGCGCACCTAGCTTGCCCTACCCCTTCCCCTGGACCTGGACGGGAGGTTTCGCTGGTAGTTGGAGCCTTCAAAATGGCCCAAGACGGCTCCAAGCGCGCCTCGGAGAGCCCAAGATGAGCTCCAAGATGGCTCAAGAAAGCCTAAGATGCCTCAAAATGGCCCCCAAGATGCTCCAAGAGGCCCCAAGACCGCTCCAAGACGGCTCCAAGAGGCTTCCCAGACCGTCAAGGAGGCCTCCAAGAAGCCAAAATCTTTCAAACATCTAGGGAGAATCAATGATTTTGGCATCGTCGCCCGTTCGCTGTCGATAATCTTCCGAGGCCTCAATATTGCTCCAGGATGGCCACAGAGGGCCCAAAGAAAAGCTCAAGGTAGCCCCAAGACGGCCCCAAGAGCGTTCCAAGAGCGCCCCAAGAGACAATTTTTGGTGCTCACGAGGGGCAGCAGTACTCGGGGAACACCTCCTTTTTGAGCGATGTCCTCCAAGATGGCTCCACGAGCGTCCCCAAGGGTCCCAAGAGCGCCCCAATAGGACCCCAAGAGGCACCCAGGCGGCCCCAAGAGGCGCCCCAGAGGCCTCCGAGAGGCTCCCAAGAGGCCCCCAAGAGACTTCAAGAGGATTTCAGAGGCACCTAAAATGCTCCCCAGACGCTCCAAGAGGCCTCAAGAAACACAAGAGACATCCGATGAGGCTCTTCTGATCGTTACTTTTTCCTCCTCCTCCTTCTCCTCCGCCTCCTCCTCCACCTCTTCCTCCTTTTCCTCCTTATCCGCCTCCTCCTCCTCCTCCTCCTCCTCCTCCTCCTCCTTTGCCGCTCCAAGAGAAACCAGAGGAGACTCCGAGAGTCATTCAAAAGGCTTATGGCTCTTCTGTTCGCCCTCTTTCTTCCTTCTCCTTCTCCTCCTCCTCTTCCTCCTCCTCCTCCTCCTCCTTCGTCATCGTCATCGGCCTCGTCTTCGTGGTCGCCGTCTTCGTCGTCGTCGTCGGGTTCGTCGTCGCTGTCGTGGATATCGCCGTCGTCATCGTCGTCGTCGTCGTCGTCGTGGTCGTGGTCGTCGCTCTCTTCCTCTCTCATCCCGCCGCCTTCTCTTCCTCCTCCTCCGCCCCGTCCTCCTCCCGCAAGGAGGAAGTAAAAGGAAACAAATAAGAATTTGGAAGAATAAATGGAGATAGGCGATGGGAAGAGGAAGTACGCGCGAAAACCACGACAGTCGGCATGCTTCGCAAAAATTGTTGTTTTATGATGGACAGGTGGGGATTTTTGGTCGCGGCCGCAAGCGAAGGCGCAGGCGGCGTCCGAAGTCAGGCCGCGCTGCGAGCGTAACCTAATTAACTAGCGTGCGCGCGAACGGCTTCCGGAGCTGCCGCCGAGGGACGCCCGGCGGCGCCGGGGGCTGAAGGCAGGGCTGCAAGAGCTGCCAGGTGCGCCAGGCGGCTGAAGTGCAACCACCCCAGGGGCGCGACCACCAGGAGGGTAAACGAATTGTACCCTGTCGCGCCAGGCGCCAAAAGTAAACGTGCCACCGAGCAGAGCACGGCATAGCGCGGGGCTGAGCAAGCAGACCAGCGCTTCTGTGTCGCATGCCAACAGTGGCAACCTCAAGTAGTTGAACAAGAAGG